TTTTTTTTTTTTAAACCTAGGGGGATTATGAAGATGGGGAGAAGAAAATGGGCAGGATTAACAACCATTTACTGGTGCTATGCCTCACACCTGTAAGTCCAGTATTTGGAAGGCTGAGGCAGGGGGGCTGCCACAAGTTTGAGGCTATCTTAGTTACTCTTCTCTCATTGCTGGGACAAATACCCGACACTCAAAATGAAGGAAGGAAAGGTTTATTTAGCTCACAGTTACTGGAGGCTTCAGTCCATACTCAGCTGGCTCCAAGGCAGAGCGGCACATAGCAGAGGGCAACCTTTCAAGGCGGCAGCAAAGAGCAAAAGCACAAGGGAGGGGTAGCAGCAGCTCAAGCCACTAGCTTCTCTCTCCTCCTTACATTGAAATGCAAATTACCTGCCCCAGAGCAGGTGCAGCATCCACACCCACAACAATCAGTCACAAACTCCAGAAGCTGCCCCAAGACTGCATGAGGCTCGGGGGGGACACCTAGACACACACCATAACAGAGGTTAATCTGAGTATATAGTGAGACCCTGTCTCTAAACATTGAAACAACACCAGTAAATCAGGAAAGCATGGTGGTGCACATCTATAATGCCAGAACTCAGAAAGTTTATAAATGGAACCCCAGCCTAGGCAATTTACTGACTTAGGGCGATGCTGTCTTAAAATAAAAAAATTAAATTAAATTAAATTAAATTAAAGGGCTGGAAATTAGCTCAGTGGGAAGCCCTAGGCTTGAAGGGAAAAAAAGAAAGGAAGAAATAAGAGACAGGAAAAAGAAATAAACTTTTTGAACATGCAATTCAAAATCTCAATGATTGTAACTTCACTTCCACTCTGATGGCTATAATTATACAGCAAAACACAGCTATCAGAGCCGACAGTTACGTAAGTATAAATTGGTACAGCTGACATGGAAAACAGTCTGGTGGCTCCTCAAAAGGTTGGTGTTGCCAGGCAGGGTGATCCCACCATTTGGGAGGCTGAGGAGGATTTAAGTTCAAGGTCAGTTGGGCTGCCAACAGGGTTCATGGCCAGTCTGGACTACATGGCAAGACCTTGTCTCACAAAGAAAGGAGGAAGGAGAGAAGGGAGGGAGAGAAGTTAAACACTGAACTGAACTAGCTATATCCCTGAGAATGAAAAACACATCTGCTGAAAAACATAGCAACAAATGTTCACAACAGCATTACTCATAAGACAGAAAAGGGCGGCAACCAAGTTGAGCATGGTGGTGCATGCCTGTAATCCAGCACTCAGGAGGCTGAGGGACCACACATGTGAGGTCCGCTTGGGCTGGGGAGACAGTGTCACAAAAACCGAAAAGGGCAAGCTGCCCAAACACTGATCAGCTTATGACTTAGGCACTGTTTCAAAATAAAATATAAAAACAAGGGCTGGAGATGTATATTAGTGTAAAAGCCCTGAATTCAACCTTCAGTACTATACTGTAATTTTTAAAAAATAATTGAATTATGGGCTGGTGAGATGGCTCAATGGTCTAAAGCACCTACTTAGAACAAGCTTAGCAAAGCACAGGGACCACGGTTCAATCCCCCAGCACTACATGCCAGCCAGCCCCGCCCCCTGGTGGGCTGAGCTGGCCACACACACACACACACACAAATAAAATTTTAAAAAATAATAATTGAATTATGGATTCTTTGTTATAGTACAGTACTGACTTTGCAACTTTCATCCATTTCCGTAACAATTACCTACTGCAAGTCTGCAAATGCTGCTGCTCCATGCACTGTGAGTGCTCATCCCTTAACCATTACTATAACTTACCTGTTTCTTGTCTCACCATCTCCTGACCCTCCTACAGTATAAACTCTCAGGGCTGCAAATGCTGGCCGCTACTGTCTTTTAAGACTTCAGTGAAGTAAGGGGTACACAGTAGACAATATTTGCAGAATAAAAGATCAAATAGCCCCAAACATGATTTTCATTGTATTCATGATAGGTTTGTGGGGTGCAGTCCTGTTAAAAAGGGTTACAAGGGGCGGGAGAGATAGCTCAGTAGAATAAGTACTTGCCTGGCAAGCGCAGGGTCCTGAGTTCAATCCCCAGTGCCACAAAAAAATATACCTTTGGGGGCCAGGGAGATGGCTTAGTGGAACAAGAACTTCCCTGGCAAGCTCCAGGGCCTGAGTTCAATCCTCCGTTCCACCAAACAAACAAACAAACAAACAAACAAAAACTGGGTTACAATACTGAGTTGTTAGTTTCTATCAAGTAGAATAAATAAAAGTAATTTAACTTCAGAAACCTCGGTCTCCATCTTTTCTATAAATAGGCCAATTTTAAAATTTAATAAAATACGTCTGGGAAAAAATAATCTGTGACATGTACTCTCGTCTTTTTCTTTTCTTTGGTAGCCGGGATCAAACTCGCGACCTTGTGCCGGCCAGCAGGCACTTATGCCCGAGCTCTCTCCGGCCTGCGCGCTCTCGTTTGCGCCACTTCCCCGCTGTCCCCGGGGAGTCTGTCTAATTCACTGTCCAGCTTGGAGCGGTTTAGCGAGAAGGACAAGAAACTGTAAGTGACAAGGGCAGACCAGATGCCAGAACCCGAGCCAACCCGCAGCATCCACACAGGACATAGCCTGCTGGCATTGCCCAGCCTAGTAACTTGCAGGTGAGAACTGCCGCCAGCCTCGACGCCGGGCGCGCCATCTCCGCACCGCGGAGGCTGCGGAGGAGGAGCGCCACAAGTCCGAGGCCACCCTTAACCACGTGGCAAGCTCCTGTTTCAACACGCCCCTCCAAAAGCAAAACAAAATGATCTGTTAATCACAGCATAAGATCAGATAAGGTCTAAAAGCAGAGACACGGTCTAGTCCTCCGGGTAACCTCCTTCCTTTTCTGGGCAAACCGGCCCGCGTGGGAACCGACAGCGCCCAGGGACGCTGGCCAGCACAAGCCGTGGCCGTGTGCGCCCGGAGCGCAGCAATAAAGTTGGTCATTCAAAGCAACGTCGCCCCCGGAGCCCGCCCGTGGCTCAAGGCCCGCCCCTTCTGCTGCAGTCGCCTTCTCCTTCGCGCACTTCCGTTGCAAGACGAGCGCCACGCCCAGCCTAGGCGGAGGAACGGTCCCAGACTACTTCCGGTGGCCGAGGCGGGAAACTGCCGAAGAGCGCTCTGCAGCCGGAAGCCGGGGGGCGTATCCTGAAGCCACTTCCGGGGACGACCGGAGACGCGGAAGTGCGTGAGGTGGGCGGGGCGAGCGCTTTGAGGCCACTTCCGGCCGTGCGCTGAGGGCGGCGGAGCCCGCGAATCCTTCGGTTGTTGGCGCTGCTTCGCGCGGGCTGGAGAGACCCACGGTGAGCGGCTGCAGACGGCGCGGACCCCGGCCGCGTGGGCGCGCGGGTCGGCGTGAGGAGGCGGGTCCTGGCGCCATGCGGCCCCGGCTGGGGGCGATGGTGGACCGCAGGCTGAAGCAGCGGGTGGTGCAGGTGAGAGCCGCCGACGGCCTGGGCGACGGTGGGCCTGGGGGCGGGGGCGCAGCTCAGCCTCGCGCTCCGTGTTCTTCGGCTTCCGGTCCTTTGTTTTGTGGTGTGGGAGGCCGGAAGCCTTGAGCACCCGTTGGGGCCCTTCCTGCGCGAGGGCGAGCGGCCGAGCGAGTGGGTCAGGTAGCTGCACCTGCGTGAGCACTGCACAGGTGGAAGGAATGCCGGCTTGCTCGGCCCTCCTGGAGCGCAGCTGCCGGGACTCGGAGCCGGAGCCGGCCCCGGCCCCGGCCAGCGCCTGCTCTGCGCTGGTGTTCGTAGAATGCTTGCTTATTACCGTGGCACCCTTTAAAGATCAAGTTTTTGAAAAAATGTAGCCTCGCTAGAAAAGCAATTTTTTTTTTCGGAACCAGGGATTGAACTCAGGCCCTTGCGCTTGCCAGGCCAGCGCTTATTCTACTGAACCATCTCCCCGGCCCCTAAAGCAATTTAATGACAAGCTGCTTGTCTCAAGTGCTGCAGTTTCTGAAATCGGGTGTCCGCGCTTGCCGCTGTCGGTTGGGGTTGGGAGCGTGGACCACCTAGGAAGTGTCCAGGTGTTAAATTCTGTTGTCAGGGTGATGGACAGAGCTGAATTTCTCTGATTCCTGGCCGATTTGACAATTGTTTGGTGGCTTTTATTGATGGTCTCGGTATACTTTGTAAGTGATGCTCGCATAATGTGTTTGAGTAGCCTCTTGACTAAAATCAGGTTTGAAACATTGTTTTGTGTTTATCATATTTTTAGTACCTCGCCAGGAATAGATGTGGCAAATATGTGGACACTGGAGTCTTAGCATCTGATTTGCAAAGAATGTACAGGTAAAGTAACGTGGTTTCCAGATCCTTGCACCCTCCCACTGCTACCATTTAAAAAGTTTTGGTGCTGCTTAAATTTCACGTTGATATCAGTGGCCGCTGGTGTTGGCCTCAGTCCATAAGGTTGGAACTCAGTTCTGTTTCATTGGTGTTTACAAAAACTGTTGTATGCAATATGCTATCCTTTTCACTTTGGGGATGGACACTTTTTCCTTTGAGCACTTTTTTTTTTGTTTGGTGGAACCGGGGATTGAAGCGCTTATCCTACTGAGCCCTCTCCCAGGCCCCAGAGCCATCTCCCCAGCCCCACCTTTGAGCACTTTTAACTTGAATTAAATAACAAAGAAATGTAAGGTAAATGTGGACTGAGGAACATTTTCATGTCCTAGCTGGCTGGAACTCTTCAGAAATGTCAAGTGTCACGGAAGAGGTAGAAAGATTATTATCAATTAAAGGAGACTTTTTTTTTTTTTTTTTTGCGGAACGGAGGATTGAACTCAGACTCTTGCACTTGCCAAGGAAGTGCTTATTCTACTGAGTCATCTCCTTAGCCCTAAAGGAGACTCTTTACTGGACCCTGCATTAATACTTAAAAATCTAGTCAAGTGTGGTGGCACAGGAATATAATCCCAGCACTGGGGAGGGTGAGGTAAGAGGATCATTGAGAGTTTGAGACTGCCTATGCTGCAAAGTGTGCTCAAGCACATCCTGAACTGCATAGTGAGATCCCGGTCTCAAAGCCCTTGAAAATCCAATATTTTGGGTGAACAATTTGATAAATTGTGTGAAAGGGTTTGGTGCTTTAAACAGTTCATTTAACTGAAATGGACTTCCATTTATTTAACTGAAGTGATTCCCATTTATTTTTATACATCTTTTTCCCTTGATTTACAGGGTCTTTAAGTCAATGTAAATATTTGGTTATTTGGGTATATGCTTGTACAATACGTCGGCAATGTCTTTCAGCAATAAAACACTGAAGAGGAAAGACCTGACACAATTAACTAGGTAGAATGAAAATCTGCGCTAAATATTTGTCTATGAGGTAAAGGTACCACACACTTGTTCAGTTAAGAAAGCCATCTTGGGGCTGGGGAGATGGCTCATTGGAATAAGTGCTTCCCGGGCAAGCACAAGGGCCTGAGTTGAATCCCTGGTTCTGCCAAAAAAAAAAAAAAAAAGCCATCCTTAACCACTGGATGAGTTTTTATGTAAGTGAGGCCTAGAATCCTTAGGTGCCAATTAGGTGCTGAGTGGCAGAGCTCCATCTCTATCTTATGCCATAAATTCATAGCAAAGAGGCTCCAACAACTCAGGTCCTTCATGTTGGTTCTCTTAAAGTGTTCTTCTCTGGGTGGGGCAGGCTGGTGCATCACTTGAACCCAGGGATGTATGTATGTATCTCTCTCTTTCTCTCTTCCTTTCTCCCTTTTTCTCTTTCTTTCTCTTTCTTTCTCTTTTTCTCTCTCTTTCTCTCCTATATTTAGGAAAGGATCTACAGGGTGTTCAGGGTCTCACTACTAGATTGCACTTGTAGTGATTCTCCTGTTGACATCCTCCCAAGAGCTGGGATTATAGGCACAGGCCACCACACCCAGTCTCAATTGACATCTCAGCATGTCCCGAGGGCGTGGCTGGCATGGCAGGCCCAGGGATAGAAACCTGGCCCCTGAGGCTGCCTGCAGGTGCTTTAATCCACTGAGCTATTTGGCCAACCCCCAGTACCTTTCTCATTGGCTTCCTTTTTCTGATCATTTTCCGTGACACGTTTTGGGAAGCTTTCTCCATTCTTTGAGTATTTAATATACTCAATACATACATTAATCCTCCTGCCCTTAACTTCCTTGTTTACGGCAATGTCAATAGCATGCTGGGTAACATTGTAGACTCTTCCTGTTTGTGTGGCTTTCCTTTTTGCACATTACTCACCAGTTGCCTTAATGTCTACAGTATCGTCATTTTTGTAGATTCATAGGTATGTGGCCAAAAGAACAACCCCATATTTTCTAAAAGGCCTAGAGGACATATAAAAGGTTCCCCTCCCTTTGTATTCATCCGTTTGGCAAATTACTGGATGATGGGGCTCAGACCAAAAGGTTGGGGGGGGGGGAATGTCTCAGTATATATATAGTCAAAGCTGGCCTCAAACTCCAGTGATCCCCTGCATTAGCCTCCAGAGTGCTGGGACTACAAGCATGCAACAGCAGGCCTGGGGACAAATTGGGCTATAAATTAGTTTTTATCAATCTTAAATTTCTTTTTCTTTTTTTTTTTTTTCTGGCGAGATTGAACTCAGGCCCTTGTGCTTGCCAGGGAAGCACTTATTCCACTGAGCCATCTCCCCAGCCCTTCAATCTTAAATTTCTTGCTTGGTCTAAATAGACTGGTTTTTGTTTTTTTTTGTGTGTGTGTGTGTGTGTGTGTGTGTGTGTGTGTGTGGCCAACTCAGCCACCAGGGGGCGGGGCTGGCTGGCATGTGGTGCTGGGGGATTGAACCGTGGTCCCTGTGCTTTGCTAAGCTTGTTCTAAGTAGGTGCTTTAGACCACTGAGCCATCTCACCAGCCCCTAAATAGACTGTTAATTGAGTTAATGTTATCCTTTAGTGATTGCAGACTGATGAGGCCTACAGTCTCCTAAAAAAGTGGATGTGAAGGCTTAAATAAGTGAGACAGATGTGATTTCAGGATCAGAACTCTCTCATAGAATTGAAGATTCTCTGGGGTAAGACCAAGAACTTCTTGAGGCAGACCATTTATTATGTTATCAGACAAAGGAGGGAATACTGAAGAAGATGCAGAAATCTGAGTAGGGCTGATTATGTTCACAAAGGCTTTCACCACAGGAGTGAGATACCTGCAGCAAGCTAACTGAGGTGGGGCCAGGAGTCTTTAGCTGTGGCCTTGTCTTGTCCTTTGAGACTTCCCAGCCTCACCTGCCATTACAGGGGAACTGGTGACTCAGGTTCACTTATGTAAGTCCTCTGCCTATCTCCAGAACAGGGGCCTGGGTCTTGGGCAGACACATAAGTAAACATGAAAAACCAGTTGGTTAACATAAATCCTGCTCAGAGCCACTTTATAGTGGTCTCTGTCATATTGTGGCTATGTAAATTCCTTTTTCTGCAGAGAAACAGGGGTTTTTTGAGGTGAAGTATATATTTCTAAGATTCAGATGACTGCCCAACAGTAGTCTTTTTTTTTTTTCTTTTTTCTTTTCTCTTTTTTCTTTTTTTTATTTTGCGGAACCAGGGATCGAACTCAGGCCCTTGCGCTTGCCAGGGAAGCGCTTATTCCACTGAGCCATCTCCCCGGCCCCTTTTTTTTTTTTTTTTTTCCCAACAGTAGTCTTTACATGAAGACAGAACTAAAGTGAATGTGCCAAAATGTTAATAATTTGAGAGTATAGGTTAAAAGCATGAATATTCATTGCATTATTTCTTTAAAAATCTTAATAGGCTTGAAATTTCAAAATAAAAGCATTCAAAGAAACAAGCAGAAAAATTTTTAAAAAGTAAAAATAGAAACTCACAAGCTGTCTTGAGAAAGGTTCATGGCCAATGAACAGTGACAGTTAAATATTTTTGCAATTTTATATCATTAATAGGCTTAATGAAAAATACTGGTGGAAACCACTGTACTTAAATCTGTTTTTTGTTTGTTTGTTTGTTTGTTTGTTTTTCTTTCAGTGTGGACTATGGTAGAAGAAAAAGGAATGCTTTTAGGATTCAGGTCGAAAAAGGTGAGTCCTTCAGTGTTAGAGCAAATTATCAGAAATAGAAAAAACTATTAGTTCATGGCTTGTTTGTTTGTTTTAGTGTTTAACATAATTAGCAGCGAGGAGTTTAAGGATCTTGCCAAATTAGAAGATGAGCATCTGACAAAAAGAGTGAGACAAGGCACAGAGGATGACGAGTAAGTTGCACAAAATGGATTGATCCCCCCCAAAAAAACATTCCTTTTTCTAAAAGCATCCGTTTTCTACCATAGTCCATACTGGGGGAAAAAGTTCTACAAATTTTATTACAGTAGTTGTCACAAATATTTTTCCTATTCGTATCTATAAATTTTCAGTGACATTTGTGAACAAATCCTTGGATAACATTTCTTTTATATATATATATATGTATATATATGTTGTGCAGGCTCTACGGGGTCTTACTACACGGATCACACTTGTAGTGATTCTTGTTTTTCAGCCTCCCAAGCCCTGGGATTACAGCCTCGTGCTACCACACTCAGTCTCAGTCGCAGTTTTAATGCACCCCCTAGGGTGGCCAGCACGCATAGCATGCCAGCAGTCAAACCCTGGTCCCTGTGCCTGCCTAAGCAGGCGCCTTAATCTGATGAGCTATCTGGCTGGCCCTTTGGATAGCACGGCTGACCTCCCTCTCCGAGTCCTTTCTTCCAGCCATGTTGAATACTTGGTGTTCCCCAAAGACATTACACTATTTCTTTGTGACTTTATGTGTTCACTTTTGTGTAACTTAAGTATTTCTTTATTTACAAACATCTCACTTGGCCTTCAGGAGTGAATAGAGATGCTATTGCTTTTGTTAGAATATTTTAGACACCCAATGTAGTGAGTCCTTAGCTTATTAAAAATATTTTTTGCCAGGTGTGGTGGCACATGTTTGTAATCCCAGCACTTGGGAGGATAAGGCAAGAGGATGGCAGCAAGGTTGAAGCCAACCTAGACTACATAGTGAGTTCAAGACCAGCCTGAAGTACACGTATCATATGACATGGAATTTTTTTACTTTTTTTAAAATTGCTGATAGCATTTCATTACCTTTTCTCTGCCTTGATACAATGGCAGATATATTAGTAGGTGCCTGTTGATCTTGTTTAAGAAATAATAAGGAGGGCCGGGGAGATGGCTTAGCAGAATAAGCGCTTCCCTGGAAAGCGCAAGGGCCTGAGTTCAATCCCCAGTTCTGCCAAAAAAAAAAAATTTGGGGGCCAGGGAGATGGCTCAGTGGAATAAGTGCTTCCTTGACAAACACAAGGGTCTGAGTTCAATCCCGGGTTCCCAAAAAAAAAGAAAAAAAAAATAATAAGGGTTTTCAAATAATTTTACTCAGGTGTAGTTAATGTAGAATAAGCTATACATTTTAAATGTAAGCAGATTGATGCTTTTTACATGTATATGCTCATTAAACTATTCATCACAGGAGGCTGAACATTTCTGTCAACACCCCAAAGATTCCTTCTTCCCCTCAATCTCCATTTCCAGATAATGCATTGATTTATTTTGGTTTTTGATAGCTTAAAATGCTTTGGTGTTTTCTAAAATTTTGTATAAATGGAATCATATAATATATATTTTTAGAATCTTTCCCCTAGCATGATTTGAAATCCATCAGGATCGTTGCATGTCTTAGTACTTCATTGGTGCGTGTGTGTGTGTGTGTGTGTGTGTGTTTAACTGTATTTAGTACAGGGTCTACAGAGTCTAACTATACAGATCTGACTCATAGTGTTCCTTCTGTTTTCTGCCTCCCAAGTGCTGGGACTATAGGTGTGCGCCACCACGCCCAGTCACTACCTCAGTGGGCACGAGGGGCGGGGGTGAGACCAGCAGGTGCTTTAATCCACTGAGCTATCTGGTTTCCTACTTCATTGGTTTTTATTGGTATCTAATGGATATGCTACAATTTTTTAAATTCATTTGTGTGGTGGGACTATTGAATTGCTTCCAATACTTGACTATTACAAAAATATGCTAACACCGTTTATGTCCAGTTCTTTGTGTGGGTGATATTTTAATTTCTCTGAAGTTTTTTTAGCAATTCTTCTTTAAGTGATTTATTTCAAAGGGAAAGAGAAAGAGGACAGATAGATAATAGACAAGCAGAGAATATTTGAAAGTGGGCCAACTCACCGAATTATTTTTGTTTAATTTATACATATGTACATACATACATACTGAGAATCGAACTTATGACCTTGTACTTGCCAGGCAGGGACTATGCTGCTGAACTAGATCCCCAACCCTTGTTTTTTGTTTTTCTTTTCTTTCAAATTGAAGGGCCGGCCAGATAACTCAGTGGATTAAAGCGCTTGCTTAGGCAGGCGCATGGACTGGGGTTCAATCTCTGGCACTACAAACCATGCCGGCCCATGGCGTGCTGAGTCTGCGATTGAGATTGGGTGTGGTGTTGTGGGCCTGTAATCCTAGTACTTGGGAGGCTGAAAACAGGAGGATCACTACGAGTCTGATCTGTGTAGTGAGACCCTATGGACCCCGTACTAAATACATTAAATTGAGACAAGGACTTACTGTGTGGTGGAAGCTGACCTTGCTTTCACTTAAGCACCCCAGGCTGGCCTCGAATTCATAGTGATCTTCCTGCCTCAGCCTCCCAACTGCTAGGATTACTGGCATGTGCCACCACACCTGGCAGATTTATCTTTTATATAGAACAGATAGGTAGTATCATTTTGTAGTTGTTAGGTGTTCAGGGGTGTGGATGTATATGTCTGTGTGGTCTTTTTAGATGGACCCCTACTATGTAGTTCAGGCTGGCCTTGAACTCACTATGTAGCCCAAGCTGCCCCAGACTCTCGAAGCTGGCAAGGGTGATCCTCTTGCCTCAACATCCCAAGTGCTGTGATTACAGGAGTACACCGCCACACTCAGCTGGGGTTGGGTGTGTTTTTTTTTTTGAACCCAAGTTTCTTTGCTTCCAAAGCTTGGACTTTTAATCACCATAGTATTTGCTTTACTATTCTTGTTTTAGACAGTAATTTATTGCAGGAGAAAAGCCTTCAAAACATTTTCTCTTTTTGCTGAGGTGTACTAAAAGCTCTTCTGATGGTGATTCGAATGCAGAAGATTACATAGATCCACAGGTAAGCCAGATATTTACTGGGCCCATTTTGATTATCTAAAAAAGTCGTCATGTTCCCCTCTTGGGAAAAATTCATTAATAATAGGGCCAGGGAGATGGCTCAGTAGAATAAGTGCTTGCCTGGCAAGCACAAAGTCCTGAGTTCAATCCCCCTGTACTGCAAAAAAAAAAAAAAAAAAAAAAAAAAATTGTAGTTTTATGGGACTGGCGAGATGGCTCAGTGGTCTAAAGCACCTACTTGACTCAGAACAAGCTTAGCAAAGCACAGGGACCGCGGTTCGATCCCCCAGCACCACATGCCAGCCAGCCCCGCCCCCTGGTGGGCTGAGCTGGGGACACACACAATAAATAAATAAATGTTTAAAAAAAATTCATTAATAATAAGAGACCCTGCATGTGTTTATCAATAAGTAATTGAACATTTATGTATAATATTGGAGTAACCATCCTTCTAGTATTTGTTTATATTTAGTTATATGTGGGAAAAGAATATTCAAAAATAAGGCAGAAACAAATAGAAAGGGAATTAATAGTAAAAATAAAGCATGTGTTTTCTATAGAAGAGCTGGTATTTCTAATGAATAAATTTAACCAGGTATGGCAATAATTTCCTTATAACTTGATGAGGTATTTCTTAGTTTTTTGTTTGTTTTTTAACTAAATTAGTGTTTCAATTTATTAACAAAGGCTCCTGCCTGAGTTGTTTTTGATTCAGTTCTGAGTTGATGGAATAGTAGTGATTCTCACTACCAGTCACATTTTCATGCTTTTTAAAAAAGCAACCATGCTTTTGATTTTATTTAGTAATCAGTTACTAATTGGTTCTCCATTAATGTGAAATAGTGGTAGGAATACTTTTGTTTTGTTTTTTTTTTTTTCAGAACCAGGGATTGAACTCAGGCCCTTGCACTTGACAGGCAAGCACTTATTTTACTGAGCCATCTCTGCAGCCCCCTTCATCTTTATTTTTTTGGTGCTGAGTCTTGCTACACAACTCCAACTTGTAATGATCCTCCTGTCTCAGCCTCCCCAGTGCTGGGATTACAGGTGTGAGCCACCACACCTGGTTTCAGTGGCAGGCACGGCATACCCAGATTGGGGCAGTACCAAGGATTGAACTGAGGTCCTTGGCTCTTTCTAGGCAGGTACTTAGCTCCCCAGCCCAGGATACATCATTTTAAGTCAGAACCGCTTAGTTGGATATCATCTTAACTATGAATACCTATACATTCTGACTGCAAACATAACAAAAGGAATTTGTTGAAACCAAAATGTAGAAAATGATTAGTATAGGAAATGAAATCTCAAATACCTGTTAAGTAATTTTCACTACAATCATGTTTCTTCCAGTCAGCAAACCACATGAACAGTTCACTGCTCTCTTTATATCGGAAAGGACATCCTGATTCTGTTTCAAATACTCTGGAGATGCCGCGAGGAGAATCTACTGCTCCAACACCACCGCTGAATTTTAAAGCAGGCTCCATTCCTTTGAAGATACCTGCCAGAGAGTTGGAGGGAGGATGGTTTATTGACAGAACCCCAGATGGAAGGAAAGACAGTTCTTTCATGGAGCCATCTGATGAGAAAAGTGATCATAAGCCTATGTCTGAGGTACAGGTATGTTCATAATAAAACTGGCGCCACAAAGTTGGAGTACGTTACAGGCTTTTCATTAATTGTAATATCAAGTAAAAACTTGTACAAAAGTCAGAGGAGTTTGATCACTTTGTGTTACGTTGTCATTGCTAGCCTAGTTGAAGCCTTTCTTAACTGATGAAATAGACTTCCATTTGGAAACGGGGGGGTGGGGGCTGAGAGTAGAACCCACAGCCTTAATCTTATCTGCTTCTCCTGTCTTCACCTGCTTCCTTTGCTTTAGCCACAGTGGCCTCTTGATGTTTTAGGATGCCAAGCTCTCTCATGTGGGATGTTCTTGGTTTTCTATCTAGGGCACTTTCTGTGGACTCCTGTCACCATCTTTGCCTTTCATGATACAGAAAATAAGCACACAATGTTATTCTGTTTCTTTCTGTCCTTTTCTGTGGTACCTGGAGTTGAGCCTGACTTGTTTGCACTGAACTACATACACCCTCTCATTTTTTTCAATAGCCTTTCAAGTTTTTCGATAGCCTTTAATTTTTTATTTGTTTTTTTTTAATTAATTTTTTACTTATTTGTGTGTGTGTGTGTGTGTGTGTGTGTGTGTGTGGCCAGCTCAGCCCACCAGGGGGCGGGGCTGGCTGGCATGTGGTGCTGGGGGATTGAACCGCGGTCCTTGTGCTTTGCTAAGCTTGTTCTAAGTAGGCACTTTAGACCACTGAGCCATCTCACCAGCCCCGCCTTTAATTTTTTAAATTAATTTTATTTGTATATTTTTGATATAAATAATAATCACATTCATAGTAGGAATTTGTACCTCTGCATATCTTGATTTTTCTTTTTATTCCTCATTCCTCTTCCCTGCAACTCTTTTTCTTATTTACGAAAAACATTTCATTTTTTCACTTTTTTTTTTTTCCATTTTTCCCTTCCTGTCCTTCCCTCTCCCTATCCCTTGTCCTCTTTCTCATTTGAATATTTTCTTCCTAATCCCCAATGCTCCTTATTTATGCTTTTGGTTTCTCACACAAGAGAAACAATGCTATATTTAAATACATGTGTTACTCATTTGACTTAAAAATGTGAATTTGTAATTTTGAAACAGGTATCTCAGACCAACCAGATAGCTCAGCTGACTTAAGTGCCTGCTTAGGCAGAGCACAGCAGCCAGATCCTTGGCGAGCTGTGCTGACCCCCCAGGGCGCACTGAGACAGTGATGGAGACTGGGTGTGGTGGCACATGATTACAGGCGTGTACCACCACACCCAGTCTCCATCACTTGAGGAGATGAAAACAGGAGAGCCACTAGAGTCTGATCTGTGTAGTGAGACCCTGTACTTAAAAAAAAAAAAATCTCACTAAGCTGCTTAGTCTGGCCTTAAATTAATGAGCCTCTCCAAGAGTTAGGATTCTAGGCATCTGCCACCAGGAGTGCCCTGTTACCCAAATCCTTTTTTGTTAAGCATTATGGTCTTTTAGTCTTGCTTACTTGTAGTTTTTTTTTTAAGTCACTCTTGTCTCCGCACACTAAAACATAAGATCGAGGAGAGCAAGGGCTGGGTTTTAATATGTCCCTGGATAACATACTACCTACCTCATAGCTGTCAGTTTGTTGAATTGGTCGTACCTACTGGCCTTCTTGACATAATTATTTTAGGTATCTAGAGTTCTTGGTTTTAGTAGAAAGAAAGATTGCTGCTGAAAGTTGTTTTTTGTATTTTTGTATGTTCAAGGTAATGGGTTAAGTTCTAAGTAGGTCTGTTGTGCAAATGTGTACAATAGGCAGATACATTTTTGTTTAAAAAAATCTTTTAAAATTGAGGTTTGCCATACTTAAGGAAAAGCATAGTTCTTGAATTATCACCAAGTGAACAGTTCGGTGCCTTCCTTAACTGACTAAAGCATGGCAGAGAGGGGCTTGGATAAAGCCTGAGGGGATTGCACTGACCTTATCAAACCCAAAAGCTACAACTCTTGTTGAATAGGTCTTGCTTTACCTTGGTCTTAACCATCTGGCAGAAAAGTAGAAAAACGAAATATAAGAAGTAAAGCCATGCTGTTATGTTGAGCTGTAGGGGACTCAGGTCAACAACTTCTGACACTGCCAGTCAAGTAGAAGACCCAGAACTATTATGGACTACTGGACTCTTTTAGAATATTTTGCTGAGTTCACACACCTATAATATTTAAATGATGGAACTAAACAAAAAAAGGGAATACATAAATGAATGTTCATTTTGTATCTATTCAGAATGGTTAGGATAGATATATAGCTACATTCTCTTAATTCAAGGAATAGAGGGATTTGTTCTAATAGTGCTTGTAAATAGGATATCATGTCTGCATCTTGTACAGCAATTAACCACTAGAAAGGCAGTATGCAATGTGTTAATTATTGGAACTGTCCTACCAATTTGATTTGAAACTGTCTCATTGCTATTTATTTCTCAATAAAATTAAGGAAAAATTTAAAAAATAAAAACAATGCATATGTTGATCTATATTTTCTCTTGGCTGTCAGCAGCTTTGTAGTCACAAAGTGGCAAATTGTCAGATAAACCTCGTTTATGTGATAGAACTGTGAGACATCTCAATGAGAAATTGAGAATAAAAGGTACTATTGATGTCTGAATGGAACAGCTCACAGTTCAGGAAAGACAAATCACCAAAATGCAAAGCAGAGTCCAGTACTTTATCATATAGCTGCAAATGTAGTGTGTGGGGAGTGTGGGGAGATTAAGTCAGCTGAAAGAAAACTTTCAAATGTTAGCCTTTAAACTGAACTTTAAGGTTATGGGAAATGATATCCCCAGCAGACAGCCTTCTGGAGCAGAGACATCGGGAACAGGGAACAGGTGGAGGTGCTACAGCAAGAGTGTGGTATTGTGTACAACCTCCATCTTTAAAAAGGTGCGCAGTACTGGTGGTGTAGTTTTAAGTGTCGTTTGATTAAATTTATTTTCATCCCAGGATACAAAAGATTTTTCTCTTAAGAGTGATAGAAAAAGGAAATGCAAGATAAAGGGGAAAGAAAGCAAACGGAAGAAAGATCTTCAGGAAGTAGATGGAGAAATAGAAGCTGTCGTGCAAAACAAAGGTGAGATGTATGTAGTTGAAGTTGGGTTTGCTTTGAAAGAGATATCTTTGTATTCTAAGTTGCTGAGGGACTTTTTATGTGCTGATTACTGGAAAATATTTCGGTATCTAGTGATCCTTTAATTGCGAGCTTATACTAGTCACTAACCTGTTCATCTTTTTGTTTGTTCCCAGCTAAAGCCAGGGGACCAGAATTGCAGATCTCCAGCGTGAAGTTTGAAGATATTGGAGGCAGCGATAGGACCTTAAAAGTTAGTTCAGATTCACAACTGTATTTCAAGTGGGCATATTTCTAATCAGTTATATCAACAAGGCCTGCCCTTTGTGGAGTGCAGTGGGGTGACACAGGCAGGTGAGGACGGCAGTCTGGCTGTACCCTTGAGGATACTGGCAGGTAAGCATGGGGCCCTCAACCTCACCACTTCCTGATGTGCACATAGTGCATGCTTTATATGTCATCTTGTTTTACTGGTAGGTAATCAGTCATTCCAACTCTTCAGAGTGGATTTTGTCTGAATGGCAAGCTAGTTCCTTTGTGCTACATCTATAAGGAAAGCATTTTTACAGTTTTGAAAGTGGAACTTCAGAGAGATTATTGATGAAGTTACATTGTTGATACCAGAACTAGGATTCAAGCCTGGCTTTGTACTGTTTCCTCTTGTAAAGAGTAAAACATTCCATTCCATTTTGATTCTTTCTGTTTTGGGCTGAGGAAGATATCACCATGCTTTTTCCTTGCCAGGAAGTCTGCCAGATGCTCATACACATGCGTCATCCAGAGGTGTACCGCCACCTGGGCATCGTGCCCCCTCGAGGCGTTCTCCTTCATGGGCCCCCCGGCTGTGGCAAGACCTTACTGGCACATGCAGTTGCTGGGGTGAGACTGGCTGGGTGTTTTCACTTTTCTACTTTGCTTATTACTGTGTTTTGTGAGGGGGTTTGGTCAACTTCATACAGACCTGATACCTTCAGGAAGAGATTATGGCCGATGAGAAATGGTCCCTTTAATAATTTCTTTCATACTTTTTATGGGATTTTGAAAATTCAGTTACTGCATACATGACAAAGCTTGATGGAAACATAACTACAGCTTTAAAAAGTTCTTTGAATATATTATTTATGTTTTAGTTATTTTCCTTACCTTTTTAACCCAGTAGCTCTTAAGAGCAACAGTGTTAAAATAATAGTACAAGGTATTTTGTATAATAAAGTTTAGTGCTTTATTTTAGGCCTGTTGGTATTTTAGGAACTGTTGAATTAGTAAAATACAAGATATCCAATTAAGAATTCATTAAGTAGCATATTACTCATTAACAGATTAATTGCTATACAAAAGAACATCATTTTTAAAGGAGAACAAAGTACACAGGGCTATGTAGAGTTTTGGGACACCCTAGTTCAAGTTGGGGTCAAAGATGTGGTTAAGAAAGTGAAATTTGAGGGTAGCCAGAATGGCTTATTGCTGTTTGTACTGATGGAATAATATAGCTTCTCTTGTCCCTCCCACCCCGCCCCACCTTTTTTTTTTTTTTTTTTTAGTACAGGGTCTCACTACACAGATCAGACTTGTAGTGATTCTCCTGTTTTTAGCCTCCCAAATGCTGGGATTACAGGCATGCACCACCATGCCCAGTCCCAATTCATGTCTCGTAGCAGAGCCCTGGGGCTGGGTATGGCAGGGCAGGGCATGCCATCTGCCACAGTTGAGGGATTCCCCGCATCTGCCTAAACAGTAGCTTTAATCTGCTGAGCTATCTGGCCGGCCCTTTTTCCCCTTTTTTTGGTGGGCCTAGAAATTGAACATAATGCCTTCACACAGAACTATTATATTCCTGGGTTTTTAATTTTTTATTTTGAGATAGATTCTCGTTAAGTCATTAACACATTTCTGCTGGCTTGAACCTCTTGTGGTGCATGTGTGACTGTCCCATTGGTAATCTTGTATCACCAGTGGTACAAACATCTAATCACCTTTACCAGTCTTTTTACTCTATAAAGGATCAAATCCACTTAGTTCAAATTTGAAGAATTTCCAAATATAAACTAATACTATTCGTGCCATTAAAAATCATTATAATAAAGGACAAATCATTAAATTAAAAGATATGTTCATGAATAATTTATTTAAAAAATCTCTGAATTTTAACGTGGAGGTCCTATATATATCTCTTCTTTACTGGTATGATATTTTTTATTGTTTATTTATTTATTTTTGCAGAACCAGGGATTGAACTCAGGCCCTTTTGCTTGACAGGGAAGCGCTTATTCCACTGAGCCATGTCCCCAGCCCCTTTACTGGTATGAGAAATACCCACTTAGGGACTGGGGAGTAGCTCGGCAGTCTAAGCGCTGCCTGGCAAGTGCAAAGACCAGGGTTCCATCCCTGACACAACGTGCCATGGTGGCACAGGCCCGTAATTCCAATGCTGGGGAGGCTGAAACAATCACTATGAGTCCAAGTTTCATAGCAAGACCCTGTACCAAATAAATAAATCTTTTTTTAAAAAGAAAAAAATCCATTTACAACTATGGTACCATAAGTTAGCTGTACTATAATTTTTTTATCCCATCTTATTGTTTTCCTTAAGGAACCATAATATGATGGTCTGCCAAACCTGTGGTGTGCTAAAGCTATGCCTTTCTTTATATTATTGTAATCAAACACCCCTGAGAAAGGAGTATAAGCTGCCTGGTGGGACAATTGTGATGTACCACTGGTGGTTCAAGGTGGTGTGATGATCAGAGTCAAATTATAGCCACCTCGCAGCATGTAAATTGCAGCCCCATCATGAACGCATTATGTTGCTTAGACTAGACTTGACCTTGTCAGGCACCCAAAGTGCTGCGATTTCTCACCCAGGCTTCTCTTCCTAAAGGAATCTCCCTTAAATAGTAACTGGCTACTCTGTTTAGAGTGGAAAAATGCAAGCAAGAGTGTGTAGAAAATGACCGACCCTGCCATTTCTGTCCAGTAATCTGATGATTGTTTCAGCTGAGCCCTAAGTGGAGGGAATCATTTCTTCTTGAAATTTAAGAGATAATGGCATGTGTAAAGTGAAAACAGAAAGTCTATACCTAATGTGTTTGCATAAATAGATCTTTAGTGTTTTGGGGTTTTTTTTTTTTTAGTTTTTTGGTGTGTGTGCAGAATCTCACTATGCAGCTTGGACTCCTAGTGATTGTCCTGATTTCTTCCTCCCTAGCACTGGGATTACAAGTGTGTACCACCATGCCCAGAATCCATCTACGGCTCAGCATGCCCAGGGGCAGGGCGGGAGTGGCATGTGGTACCAGGGATCAAACCCTGGCCCCTGCGCTTACCTAAGCAAGTGCTTAGTCCACTGAGCTATTTCGCTGGCCCTTAATAGTGTTTTTCATTGGACCAACTCACAAAGATGAAGTTCCTGTGGAACTCTTGCATTTTTAAAAATTAGTTTTAGCTGAGCATGATGGTGCATGCCTGTAATCCCAGCACTGAGGGGGTGCTGGGGGTGCTGAGATAGGAGGATTGCTCCGAGTTCAAGGCCAGCCTTCCTGCACTACACAGTGAAATCCTGTCTCAAAAAATAAAGAGAAGGGGCCGGGGAGATGGCTCAGTGGAATAAGCACTTCCCTGGCAAGCGCAAGGGCCTGAGTTCAATCCCTGGTTCCGCCAAAAAATAAACAGAAGATACATATGTCATTTTGGTTGAGGTCTGGGTGAAGAATCAGTAAGCAGCTTAACATTTTGAATGTTTGGTCCTGCTATTATGTGTTTGTGCCCAGGAACTAGAACTGCCGATTCTGAAAGTCGCTGCTCCAGAGATTGTATCGGGAGTTTCTGGGGAGTCTGAACAGAAGCTCAGAGAATTATTTGAACAAGCTGTGGTGAGTCAGCAGATGGCTAATGTCACGTTACCAGATGATGTTTACCTGTGTTGTCTGATGCTAGTATTTTTTCTCTTTACTAGCCCTTTTGTAAGCATGTTAATTGGCTACCCATGGAAACTGAATATTTGAAGTAGATTTAATGATATAAGCTTTTGCATAAGTAATCTGTTTGATGTAAAGTCTAGTTATCTGTCTTGTCCTTCCTCTTAAATATGGGTAATGATGTGCTGAATCTTACAGTGTCATTGAGAGTATTTACAGCAAAAGCCCCCCCATAATGTTAGCCATCATGTTATACATACTTCAGCAGATAAGAATTATCACTGTTGGGCTTAAACTGAAAACTTAATTTCATGTCTTTATTTGCATCCAAAGTATATAGTAGCTGACGAACATAGCTGGTTCCACTTCTAGAGGCTAGCGTGAAGTTAGGTTAATCGTATTTTAGCAGTAATTACAGCAGTAGTTGGGGCAGTGGGAGAATATTTCAGAACACCATGCGTGGAGAGTCCATCCACTCCTGTTTCCTACAGTGTGCCAGTTCAGTCATTAGACTGGCATATGGAGCCAGGGACGTAGTAAATTTTGTGTTTATGGTGAATACAATGCTGAGTAATGTAAAAGAGACAAATAGCACTTTCAGGACATGATGCATTCTGTGTTTGTATCTCTAAAACAGTACTGAGCTAGTACTGTGCTTATCCCAGTGGTTAATAAAAACATGATGTAGGAGCCCTTGCCCTGGATTCCAGAGAGGTCAGATCAGGAAAGGTGGTTCTGGGCAGGAAATTGGTGAGTTTTAGGTTAACATGAACTGTGATAGGTTTTGATATTGGATGGTTGAAAAGTTCTATAGTCAGATGGTTACAGCGATGGTATAACACTGTGAGTGTATTTAGTGGCACTAACTGTATGTTTAAAATAGTTAAAATAGTATTTTATAAGTTTGCCACAATTTAAGAACTTCTGGTACTTTTTTAAGTTTGTCTAGCAGATTCAAAAGAAAAGCATGGACTTTAGAGGGATATATATGTTTGTGAGTTTGTCACAGGGTCTCTATGTAGGTGTGGCTGGCTTTGAACTCACTGTGTAGCCCAGAATGGCCTTGACCTCTCAACAGTCTTCCTACCAGGACTCCTGAGTGCTAGGATTAACAGCTATGACCACCTGCCAAGCTTATTTGTCTTTGTTTGAGGGGTGGGACTTGAGGCAGGCAGAACTGTGTAGTTTAGGCTGACCTTGAACTCAGTGTATACCCCATTCTGGCCTCAAACTCAAGGCAATCCTCCCAAATGCTGGGATTACAAGATATATGCCATGACACTTGGCCTTTTTTTTTTTTTTTTTTAAGCATGGACATTTTTATGTTAGTGAAAATACTAGTGAACTTGGAATTTCTCATTTAAAATTTTTAAATTTATTTGTATTTTGTAAAATAGCAAATATGTCTAATTTACAAAACAATTTTAGTAGACATATCATAAAATATAGACTGATGAAAACTCTAAGCTAGCCTACCTGTGGTCTCTCATTTCTCCCTTTTAAATATCTTGGGCATCTTTAAGACACAGAAATCAGAACTCACACTCTGAGGGTAATTTTTGTGGTAAGTGATACTTAATCTTTAGATTAATGAAATCATTTACTTCATTGTGCTTCAGTACGTAGAGTGTAAATATGACTGTCTTTTGTGAAACTTTTACTGCTAGTCAAGTGCACCGTGCATTGTCTTCATTGATGAAATTGATGCTATTACCCCCAAAAGAGAAGTTGCTTCAAAAGACATGGAACGAAGAATCGTAGCTCAGCTTCTATCCTGCATGGACGGTAAGTTGTAAATAATCAATCCATTTAAAGATGATGATTTTTAGAACCCGAGAGTCCTCAGCTTGTTCCTCTACCAAACAAAACGAACAAAAAAATAAAGGATTGTTTTGCTTTTTATAATTTTCCTATTGCACCATATACATTGTTCTCCAACTTACTATTTGTCTGTTAACTATACGCTTTGGAAATATTTACATGTTTACCTTTTTTAAACTGGTGCATGGTATCGTTTATGATAGAAATACCATATTGTATTTAAGCATTCCTACATTGATATTTAAGTTTTCAGTTTTTTTAAGGGCCTTTCTGGTTGGTGCACATATATTTTTCTGTAATAGTAGATAATGAGTTAATAGTTGAAAATGACTTGTTTTAAATTTTCATGGAAAGCTGGGTGTGGTGGCCATTGCTAGTAATCCCAGTGCTTGAGAGGCTGAGGCAGGAGGATCATTGTGAGTTCAAGGTCAACCCAGGCTACATAGTAGGACAATCTCAAGAAAAAAAAGTTCTTTTATTTTAATGGAAAATGGCAAGTTGTCTTCCATGAAGAGTTTACAATTTACATTCCCACCATTACTGTATATCTCCCTTTTTCCAGTTTCTTGGCACTACTGAATGTTAGCAATTATTTTAGCTTGTGCCCCTGTTGGTTGAAAATGGAAAATCTCAGTTTTAATTTGCATTTTCCTGATTATCATTGTGGTTATGCATTTTTCTGTATTTCTTTGGTTGATTGTATCATCTCTTCTTATCCCTTTGCCCATTGCAGTATTGATTGTCTTTTACAGATCACCTAGGTGTTGAGTGTAGTGAAAGGGCGTAACACTTACCTGCCCCATGGGCGGCCCTGGTGATGCCTAGCACCACTAGCTTTAAAGGAGCACTTTTAACAATGTGCTGATTGTCTGCATCTGTAACTTGTTTGTAGATTTTGATGGGTTTTTTTGGTTTTTGTGTTTTGGGGGGTGGGTGTTGCCCACTTTACCTGCCGTGGGGGCAGGGCTGGCACGGTATCGACCCATGGTCCCTCCATTTGTCTAAGCTTGCCTAAGCAGGCATTTTAGACCACTGAGCTATCTTGCTGGCCCTGAAATATTTTTAGGAATCAGAAATTTTGGCTTGGAACTAGATATGGTGGCACAACCCTGTAGTCCCAGCACTCGAGAGGTTGAGCCAGGAAGATCTCTATGAGTTTGAGATTAGCCTAAGGGCTACAAAAGTGGGCAGAAGGCCCGCCCAAACTGCCTAGTGATACCCTGTCTCAAATAAAGAAGGAAAAGGGGGAAAAAAGGAAAGAAAAGGAAAAGAAATAGAAATAAATTTTGGCTTGCCAGGCTAGCCCCAGCCCCAGGCATGCTGAGCCAGCCTCTGAGACCACTGAGACCTATAATCCTAGCCTTGGGGCAGCTAAAAACAGGATCACTATGAGCTGAGCTGCATAGTGAGACCCTGTACCGAGTACATCTTTTTTTAAAGTAATTTTGGAATGAGAGTCTACCTTCTTTGAAATTCTACCTGCTTTCCTTTATACATTTTATATATGCAGGAAAGTTTGAAGTCATATACAATGGGTTTTTCTTCCCATTTCAAGTTGCTTATTCTGTTGTTTTATTTTATCTGCTGTAGTGTTATTGAGGGCTATATTCTGCCAACAGCCTTTCATGGCTTTTTTTCTACCTAAGGTTATAGTATATAAAATCTTCATTATGTATGTATGTATTTGGTACAGGGTCTCACTACACAGCTCATACTCATAGTGATCCTCATTTTTAGCCTTCCCAACAGTGGGATAACAGGCAAGCGCCACCATGCCCTGTGGGGTGACCAGCTCAGCACACCTGGGGGCAGAGCCAGCACAGCATGTGGTGCCGGGAATCAAACCCCAGTCCCTGAGCTTGCCTAAGCAGTTACTTAGTTCACTAAGCTATCTCACCGGCCCTTGAATTATTATTTTTTTTTAATTTTATTTCTGTGTGTGTGTGTGTGTGTGTGGCCAGCTCAGTCCACCAGGGAGTGGGGCTGGCTGGCATGCGGTGCCGGGGGACCGAACCGCGGTCCCTGTGCCGTGCCAAGCCCGCTCCAAGCAGGTGCCCCAGACCACCAAGCCATCCCACCAGCCCCGCTTGAATTATTTTTGTTCTTTCTTTCTTTGTGGTACTGGGGATGGAACTCAGGAGCTTACACTTGCTAGTCAGGTGCTCATGCCGCTGAGCTGTATCCCTTGCCCATTTTGGTTCTTGAGATGGAGATGGGATATCACTCTGTAGTTTAGGCTGGGTTTGAACTCACCATGTGACCCAGGCAAGCCTTGAACACATGGTAGTCCTCTATCTCAGCCTCCCAAGTACTGAGATTGTAGGCTTCCACACCTGGCTAAATCCTCATGATTTAATTAGCATTTTATTTCCTGTAAGGGAGTATAACCTTCCCTCCTGAATCCTGGACCAACTGAGAGAAATAACATTACAGCAGATAAACTTTATTTTTTATTTATTTATTTTTAATGTGTGTGTGTGTGTGTGTGTGTGTGTGTGTGTGGCCAGCTCAGCCCACCAGGGGGCAGGGCTTGGCTGGCATGTGGTGCTGGGGGATTGAACCGTGCTCCCTGTGCTTTGCTAAGCTTGTTTTAAGTAGGTGCTTTAGACCACTGAGCCATCTCACCAGCCCCACAGCAGATAAACTTTAAACCTTGCATTCTGTCCAATTCTAAAATATCTCAAGATGAGGTCAGAACAGCATAGACATTTGTACCCCAAGTATCAAATTAATTCAGCATCCTTCTGAAACATACTGCTTTGTACCCAGACTCCATTGTTGGCCACACCCCTTACCCAGACATGTCATACATGCTCCAACCTCCATGTTTCATGCGTACTGTGTAGAATTTCACCAAACTGTCCTTGCTTATGAAAATCATTTTCACTTTCAAGGCTTTTCTCAATGTTACCTCCTTCTTAATTCTGTTGGAGTTCATAAAAATTTCCTTGTCTTTTGGCTCTATTGTTTTTGTTTTTGTGTACTACCTGTCATTGTGCTTCGCGGCATTTGTCTTTTTTTTTTTTTTTTAATTTAATTTATTGTGTGTGTGTGGCCTGCTCAGCCCGCCAGGGGGCGGGCTGGCTGGCATGTGGTGCTGGGGATTGAACTGCGGTCCCTGTGCTTTGTTTAGCTTAGCTTGTTCTAAGTAGGTGCTTTAGACCACTGAGCCATCTCACCAGCCCTACGGCATTTGTCTTAATACTGTTTTCTTTTATATATTCACTATTTCTCAGATTAAAATTGCTGAGAACAAAGTTGGTCTTTTGTCTTCCCGTACTTTTTACATACTTGACATATAATAAATGTTAGTGTTTTATATGTACTTAAAATATACATATCTTGGGTCCCGGGAGATGGCTCAGTGGAATAAGTGCTTCCCTGGCAAGCGCAAGGGCCTGAGTTCAATCCCCGGTTCCACCAAAAAAAATGAATGAATGAATGAATGAATGAATGAATGAATGAATGAATGAATGAAACATGTCTGTTAGAATGTGCGATACTTTTTCTTTTTTTTAGTTCTGGAGGTTGAGCTCAGGACCCTGTGCTTGCCAAGCAAGCACTTACTCTACTCAGCTATCTCCCCGGCCCACAATACTTTTTTTGGTTTTTTGGCAGAACTGGGGATTGAACTCAGACCCTTGCGCTTGCCAGAGAAGCGCTTATCCTACTGAGCCATCTCCCTGACCCCTTCCCATAATACTTTCTAAATATTAAGAGATTTGTATAAATACTGTTGCCGTTAGGCGTTTTGTTCACCTCTGTCTGGCTGGTTCTTACAGATCTGAATAATGTGTCTGCTACCACCCAAGTCCTAGTCATCGGAGCTACAAACCGACCAGACTCCTTAGACCCTGCTTTGAGGCGTGCAGGAAGGTTCGACCGAGAAATTTGCCTAGGTATTCCAGATGAAGCTTCCAGGGAAAAGTATGTTCTTAGTGAATGATGTCCTGTTGTTCCTATTTCATTATCTAGAAATACTGTGTGGCCTTTTTTCTCTTTGACACTGATTTGGAAAGGAAGAAGTCTACATTACAATGTTGCTTAAAGAAAACAATGTACTTACCCATCAATAGGATTTTTTTTTTTTTTTTTTTTTTTTTTGCAGAACCAGGGATTGAACTCAGGTCCTTTCGCTTGCCAGCCAAGTGCTTATTCCACTGAGCTATCTCCCCGTCCCTCAATAGGATAATTGATACTAGGACCTAGGTATCCACACTTCTAGGTCCAATCTTGCTAACAGGGGCTGTGGATTTTTGGTCTTTAGTGAGCCCTCCAGCTGGGGGCAGAGTCTGGAGCCATGCAAATGAGCAGTGCTGCCTGGTCCAGAGGCAGATCCTCAGCATGCGTCAGCCTCTGCACTGGCCTAAGACTGTGGGTTAGTGAGAGAGCTGGGTAGTGACTAGCTTAATTTAGTAATTGGGATTGAGTATCCAGAGAGTAAATAGATGTCTCCCAAGAAACAAAAGTATAACTACAACATAATCGAAAGCATCTCAGGAAGCACTATTCAGGTAGTAGGAGTCTGGTGAAGAATGTTCTGAAATAGCACATTTGTAATGGCTTTTCCCTTAACTTCGTGACACTAAAATTTGCTGTAATCACCAGGGACTTTGAGAAGCAGTGGTAAATAAAGGGACAGTGAGGGGCAAGGTAGAGAAAGTGATGCGATGCGCTGTGGGCTGGGGATGCAGTTTTTCAGTCCCTGGTCAGCCAGCTCCAGCACAGAAATAGGGTAACAGAGGAAAGCTGATGAGTCCATGGCTGCTAGAAAGCAGAGAGTAAAGAGTTAGATTGAAGAGAGACCCTTCAGGTCCCATGCTCAATGACCAGGCATTCTGGTCAGTTCCCAACTCCAAAGGGGAGACTTGGGGACATTTTAGATACAAATTGTAACAGCAAACTACCCGACTTGTGACAGCTAAAAGCACAGAGAAAGGGCCAGGGACAGGTTGTAGTCCCCAGGACCATGCTCATAAGACCCACTTGCCTCCACCATCCCCGCTCCTAGGGGTTCCATCAGCTAGGAGCTCGCATTGGTTGTCCCACATGATCTGCTCACTTCTCAGTAGTCATCACCTGGCGTTTGGGGGGGACATTTGAGGTCTAAACTGAGGCAGAAAACACACACACGCACACCAGCCAACTGCACATTCCTGGCTGTACTTCCAGAGGTGGCTTAGGGAGCGGTAAGGTGTGAGGATAATCTGATTGATTCTTTGACCATGAAATTTGTGCTGCTTTTTCTTTTTTGACTATAGCTAAGAGAATGCTTTTTATTTTGTTAACCATTTTTCATAGAAAAATTTTTCAATATTCCTGGGTATAGCAGAAAATGGAGTTATTTTGTGGACATTGGTCTATAGTGAAGGCTTTTCCTGGTTCCCATCATTTAAGTCAGTGAATTTTTTTTTTAATTTTATTTTTATTTATTTTATTTATTTATTTGTGTGTGTGTGGCCAGCTCAGCCCACCTGGGGGCGGGGCTGGCTGGCATGTGGTGCTGGGGGATTGAACCGCGGTCCCTGTGCTTTGCTAAGCGTGTTTTAAGTAGGTGCTGTAGACCACTGAGCCATCTCTCCAGCCCAGAATTGTTTTTCTTATGTCAGTCATGTTTATCTGCTTCTATTGTGTTTGCTTCCTTGACCCCCCTATAGTTTTTCTTTATTTGTTAGCTTGACTTTTGGAAATAATATTGTCCCTGACAGTCCGGAAATTTCAGAATGCGTTGGCTTATTGTACATCATTGTGTAAACAAACACTGGACACTTAGTATGGTTCATCCGTTGTTCTGAGTGCTTTGCAAGTGTACATTTACAACCACACTACGCTATCATGTTTCGCAAGTGAGGCCAGAGGCAAATTACTGGCTCAGGTTATGTAGAGAGAGCTGATACTCAAACTTATACAGCCTGGCTTCAAACATTCTATCTTGGATTCAGATTCTTACTTCATACCTTATCAGATTGTTCAAATTTTTTTGCTTTTTGGTTTTTTTTAATAATTATCTGCAAGCCTAGGTTTCATTGATGCACACCAAGTTGGGTTGAACAAAACTTTTCATACATGCCATACAGGGATGAAGAGTAGGTGAAGCTAAAGTGAGAGAATTGGCTAGCCTGGTATCAGTTGGGTGCTTCAGTGTGCACCGAGGTCGCATTTGGCTGTGAGTAGTGTTAGTCATTTGAGTGTAGGTGGGTGCTTTCATTTTGGGGAGATGTCTGTTTAATCTGCATTAAAAGTGCTCCCGTGGTTATTTATCTAATCTCCTCGGCAGTAATTAGGAAGACTCTTAATTTTTTTTTAAAGATTGGTCTTTGTCCTGCAAGCAGGGGCCAGGGGCTCGATCCCCAGGCCTGCCTTACTGGCAAAGGTTTGTCTTTGTGTGGCTAACAAGGCAGCACAGCTCCTAGCAAAGGCTATCTGCCAGGATCCTTTTTGGGATGAGGTCAGACATGGAGTAGTAATTTAATTTAGCAGTTGTTGAGTGGTAAATGCATTATTTGATCTTGTATTTGCAGTTATGCCATTGACAGTTTAGTACACATAAAGAACTCCAAGTAAATATATTTATTGACTTCTACTGTTGGGTCAGGAATTTGAAATGTTTTCTTTGTGTTTTCTACAGAATACTTCAGACTTTGTGCCGAAAACTCAGACTTCCTGAAACATTTAATTTTTGTCACTTAGCGCACCTCACACCAGGTTTTGTTGGTGCTGATCTGATGGCACTCTGCCGAGAGGCAGCCGTGTGTGCAGTGAACAGGGCCCTGCTGGAGCTGCAGAGGCAGCAGAAGAGAGGCTCTGAGGGCCCAGGCGGCCCGGGGGAAAAGCTGGAGACGGAGCCCGCTCCTGAAACCCAGGTGCTTTTCATTGTTCTATATTGTGTCTTCCAGAGAAGTAAATGTCAGTAGAGTTAAGGTTTAATCCTTTACCGAGCATTGCTATCTAGGCAAGTTTTCTGGTTCCCCCCCCCCACCACC